CTGACACCTTCAAAGAGGACAAGAGAAAAAAGCTGTGTATTTGCTTGGCCTAAAGAACGCACACCCATTCTCAGTTGAAATCACTACTTCAATAGTTAAATCCTCAGTTTGGCACAGTGGCTAAGGGCCGGGCTCTGGATTCAAACTCCAGTTCTGCCACATTTAAGCTAGGAGACCTTGGGCAAATCATTAACTCCCCTGGGCCTCAGTCTCCCCACCTGTACATGGAGATACAATGTATTATCAGAGGAAGAGCTCAGCACTGTGCCTGACACTTAGTAGACTTCTCTTACACATACATTTTAGATGTAGAAAGACTAATGATTCCATCAAGGAAACTGCACTTGTACAGACCCCTTACAAAACAAGGAGAAATAAGCAGAAAGATGCCATGGGGACAGTGTTTGGGTCTCTGGCTCTTTGTGAATATGCTACTTGTCTTTCTCCACTAGCCATTCCATAATTTTCTGCAGTTTGGTTCACTTTTCTTTCCTCCTTTTGAAAAGCTACTTGGATTGGGATTTCTCAAACTATAGGTGAAGACAGTGGGTGAGGCTGAGTGAAGAAATAAAATCAAAGGATCATTGATCCTCAACCCGGGAACAGGATCTCAAACTCTTATTCGAAGTCCCTGTGGAGACCCATCCTCTGAGCTGAGGCAGGCACCCCGCTGGAGCCAGAGAAGCCAGCGAGAGCCCCAGTCCAGCCATTCATGGCTGCCTCGCACAGGCACAGATCGTGGGGAGGCGGCACAGACAATAGACGCTATCCAGCCAGTTCCCTGTCTTTCCTAGCATTTCTCAAAGCCCAGCAGGCAGCTGATAACTCAGTGGCGTCTGACAGCCCATCTAAACCTCACTGTCTCTCCGGCTTCCAATCACCAGGTGTCTAAAGGGGTTAGGAGAGCAGTCAGCCTCTGCCCTCATTAAGAGCCCTTTGGCGGGCAGAAAAGATGATTGTAAAAGGAACTGTCAGGTTCATCAACTAACTGATGAGGAGGGGTGTAACAAAAGCTCCCAGAGCTCTGACCTCTTGACCCATGCCTATGTGGGGCCCCTCATTTGCATCTCATTTGCCTTGCATACTTAACAGGACTCCAGCTTACACTGGGAGAAATCATTGTCATGCACTGAAGAGAGACTCTGCAGTCCTGTTTGTGAAATGATCCTGAGGGAGGGGACCCACAAGGAAGATCTGGACGATGGTCTCTGCCCTCCAAGAAAACAAGACCTCAACCACACCACGATGATGCAGACAGAGGCAGACCACACTATTCCAGGACGATGACCAACTAAATAAAGCTGTGGTTACATCACACAGAGGCCAGACAGAGGGAAATTTCCAAATGTTTTCAAGAGACTGTGTTAGAACGATTCGGGCTAATTGCATGCAAGTCTTGTACTATGAATGTCAAACTGCACCAGCATCACATAAATGAGCTGTCAGCAGCCTGGTCAGAGTTCCCACGGAAAAGCGCCTCTCCCCGTTCTCAGAATAGTCCCCATTTTCTTTGATTGATACACACACACCCCCCCTCCTTGGCAAAGGGCTTTCAATTTTATGGTCCAAAAGCTGCAAGACACCCCCCCCCCAAGTATCTCTAAAGGATTTCAGCATTGTCTTCCAGCATACTATAAGTGTTAAATCCTTGGTATTAAGACAAACCCGTGTTCAAATTCCACCCCCAGCATTTATTAACTCTATGACCTTGGCCAAATCACTTAACCTTTTTCGGCTTCAGTTCCTCCCCCTATAAATGGGGACAATATTAGTGTCTATTTCACAGGGATTAAATGATAATCATGTGTTGAAAAGTGCTCATGGGTGGGACCAGCAGTTAGCGTAATGGCTATGTCACTGGACTCCCATATAGTCGACTGCGGTTTGAGTCCTGGACCCGGTAGCTTAAACTCACACAGGGCACATGCGCTTGCGTGCCCAAGATCCCAAGAGGAGAATGGAGGAGAAGGGATTGCTGTGTGGCCATCCCCCCTGGGGGGTGATTTCTGTCTCTCCGACTCTCTCTGTCATTCTGGCAAGCACATGCGCCCTATAGCAAAAACCTCTCAAAAAAAGAAAAGGTGCTCATGGGTGGTACTTCTTACAAAACAGAAGGTCAAGAGATATAGTGTGTTAATTGAGGAGGCAAGAAATGAAGTTGCAAATATATAACTTAAAGAAAATATCAGAACTATTAAAATGGATTCCCACTGTACTCAGAAAATACCAGATTCTCACAATGGATTGCAAAGCCTTCAGCCACTACCTCCCTGACCTTGCCTCCTGCTCCCCTCCCTTTGGCTCACTCCACTCAGACACGATATCCTCCTTGCTGTGTCCTCAGACATGCTGGACACAACGTGTCACAGGGCTCTTACACTAACTGTTCCTCTGCCTGGAATGCTCTTCTACCAAGGAACTGCCTGGCTCCTTTCTACATCTCCTTCAAAGGTCTTTACTCAACTGTCCCATCTCAGCAGCCCCTTCTTCTCCATCCTGTCTAAATTTGCCAGTCCTCCCCTTCTCCGCACTTCCCATCCTGCTTACCATTTGACGCATACTGTCCTCATTGTCTCATATACTACAACAGAGATCCTCAACTACAGGCAAATTCTTCGCCACCCCACCTGCTTTTGTAATTAAAGTTTTATCAGAACACGACCACACCTGTCCCCTGCATACTGCCTGTGGTCATTTATGTGCTACAATGGCAGAGCTGAGTTGTTTCAACAGCAACCAGATAGCTCCAAAGTCTAGGTGGCTCTTCATAGAAAAACAAAAAACAAATCTGTCAAGTCCTGCACTAAAATAGAAGCTCCATGAGGGCAGGACTTGTCTTAAACGCCGACAAATCCTCAGTGACTGAATCAGTGACTGACAAGTCAAAAATGCTCAGCAACAGTAACTTTAAGTTAAACAGGTAAACCCCAAATGGCAATACTCCTGTACTGCAGACGTGGGGGAGGAAGTCAGAAGGATGATTCCAGAGGGCTGAAACCTCCTCAGGAAGTCAGAGTCGTGAAATAGAGACAGAACATGTCATTAAACTATGCCAAGTTCAAGAACCAGTAAAGGAGTTTTAAAAAAGTTGAAAATGATGCTTTCTAGGCTAGCCAGTGGTTAAGATCCCACTAAGCTCCACCGTTGGAGTCCCAGACACAGTGGTTTGAGAAACACACCAAGTACGTGTGTGCACAGGCCCAAATACCAAGAGAAAAATGGTGGAGCGGGATTGTGATGTGGCCAAACCCCTTGGGGGAGGAGGGTGGTTTCTCACTTTCCCTCTCTCTCAGTCTCTCTCTCTAACTAGTACATGCACGCGATGGCAAAAATCTTAAAAAAAAAAAAAAAAAGTTTTTAAATGGTGTCAGGGCCAGCGGGTGGTGTCCTGGCTAAGGTGCTAGACTCCCACATGGCAGAGAGTGGTTGGAGTCTCGGATCCCGTGGCTTGAAACTCACACAGGACACATGTCTGTGTGTGCCCAAAATCTCAAGAGGACAGAGGAGAAGGGATTATGGCGTGGCCATCCATCTCTCACTTTTCCTGTCTCTGTCTCTCTGGAAAGCACACGTGCCCTATGGCAAAAATTTTTTGAAAAGGACCAGCAGATGGTGTAGTGTTTGAGGTGCTGAACTCTCATGTGGCTGACCACAGTTCAACTCCCAGACAGGCAGCTTGAAACTCACGCATGTGTGCAGGCATGCCCAAAATCCCGATAGGAGAACAGAAGAGAAGGGATTGTGGCATGGCCATTTCCCCTGGGGCCAGGGGACGGATGGTTTCTTGCTTTCTATCTCTCTGTCTCTATCTCTCCAGTGCACACACATGCCCTATAGTTGTTGTTAAGAAAAACCTTAACAACAACAACAAAATAAGTGGTGTGGTGTCCCCCATGGCAGTGGTTCTCAGAGCATATTCCAGTGGGATGAAGACAAATCGGTTATCTCCTGGGAGCTCATCAGAAAATCCGATTTTCAGATGCACACAGAGGTGATGACTCAGAGACTCACACAGTGGGACATACTCACGGGGGCTCTAATGCAGGCTCAAGTTCAAGAAGCACCAGTCTGAAGAGTGGAACTAGAGCTGGTGCGGGGGACACTGCTTTATATCCTAAGCTCTTTAATGCATATTGATTAGAGTTTATAAAAACTCTAGGCTTAGAGTAGTTTGATAAAATTATTAAATACAAATAGTTTAAAACTTACAAAGTATCCTCAAACAATTCACCCAAAAAAAGTATATTATAAAAATATTAGGCATAGATTTCCAAGTTTTTGCACCAAAATGAATTGTACTTTAATTCCATTTTCCAGGAAATGTTTCAAGTCCATTTGTATTAATCAGACCTTTTCATTGTCTTTACATCTGATGTTTTGACTTCTTGGGTCCTTGCTGACCCTGGGGAGACATCTCCCCCCAGGGCTAGACAATTTCTGACACAGTAAAGGGTAAAGGACTTACTTGCAGGTGCATCTTTCATATGCAAACCAACCAATCCAAAGCCCTTACTCTCTACTAATCTCCTCTGTAAGGTTCTTGCACTCCAGGCTACTATCTTGCTGCCCTAATCATCCCAGGGTCAGGTCCCAAGCAACTAAAGAGACAGCCCTTACACACCAGACCCTGCTGAAATAACGCAGACTAACCCATCCCTAACCTGCTTACCCTGCCTAACCTGCCCCTTCCTGCATAAACCACAATAAAGGCTCTTGCTCAGGTGTCCTTTCTCTGCCTCCTGGCAGACCTGGTGCTTCCCAGTGTGGCTCTGTGTGGGGTGATGTGCCTCTTCCTTTTCGGGACTGTGAGTAATAAACTATTTTTTCAATAGCAGATCTTCTGATCGGTTGGTTTCACCATTCCCAAATAACAATAAAACCCACATATTAAAACAAAAATGAAATAAATAAGGAAGCTGGGGAGGACAGAAGTGGCACATGCCTCCTACGAAGAACAGTGTCAGGGAAAACACGTGGCCCAAGAGCAAGAAAGTCCAAACAGCTCTCCAGATGGCCCTGAGAGCGAAGGGCCAAATCCAACAGGATGAGGTCTATCAGGGCCTGACGTTCAGTCTGAATGATAATAACAACTCGCACGAGGACGTGAGGATGCCAGCTAGCAGCACCTGGAATGGTGGGCCTGAGAGGTTTAACTGGCTACCAGTCCAAGGACAGTCAACAGCATGATGTGGCAGGCCTTACCCTGAAGAATCCCCAAAAGAGCGATGTCATCTAGAATACAGAAAGAGAATTCCGTTGTCTAGAGCAGTGTTTTAAAATGGAGGGTCATGACACGTTTACCGATGATTAGTGGAATCAATTTACAGAGCAAGACTATTTTCCTTTCACATTTTCTTAGAGGAAATAGAACAGAACAGAAGGCTATGAGGGGAGGAGATTGTATTGCAGTACACGGCCAACAGAAGGAGAGGTACCATCTCACAGTTGGGCACAGTTGTGAGTGTGTGCTTGCACCATGTGCATGTGTACATGCTTGTGTGCAACATGTACAATCTACTCCTCATGGTGGGCTGCATTTCTGAAAAGTTCAAAAGTCATTTATCTCCAATGAGAAGGGTAACCGTTCTTCTCTCCTCAGCAACACCTGGAGGATTCTCTTTGGCTCTGGGCATCGGGCTTTAGAAGGAACCTTCTCCAGGCAGAAGAGACCCAGCCTTCAGAAGAAGGTTCCACATAGCTCCAGCAAACTAGGTATTGTAGGGAATGAAGATTTTCTACTGATAATTCAGCCTCCAGCAAACAAGCTAGCGGCAGAAGAGGCCAGGCCTTCAGAAGAAGGTTCCACATGGCTCCAGCGAACTAGACGGATCTAAGAGCACTGTAGCTAAACATCCAAATAATAAGAGGGTTAAAATATTCCTCAATATCTACTGAATCTGCTGCACCAGTGATCACAACAGAACAGCAAAGAGATTCCAGATAACCTCTTTTTGCTTGCTTCTGAACACTCAGATTGAACTTCAACAATTCGAAAGAAACACACCATCCATCAGATGACAAGAAATCACTGCCGGATAACAAGAAATATGGGAAAACAAGAAAATA